CAAACACTGAGAAAATGTCTATCCAGGTATTTGTCCAATCAGTGCCCCCCAATAAGAGTGTGTATGCTTGAGCTGACAGTGTTTACATCCACATCTGGGATCTGTTCTGTTCTGAGCAGGAAGTCTTAACAAAAACTCACTCTGGTGACATTTGTCAGAGTTTACCCCCTTTCCCTCTACCATCCTCCCTGTGAAATGTGACGCTGTCACGCCATGAGACATCCAAAGTGACTAATCTTCAGCAATCAGGCCCTTAAAAGGCAATTTCACTGCCACAATCGTACATCAGAGACTTTGCTTTATCAGATTTTTTTCACGCTGAGATGCCCATGTGATGTAATGTAGTGTTTTATGTGAAATTCAGCTTGAAACCAGATAAAAGTGGTTGACTAGTAAAGGGAGGGCAACAGATCTTGGAAGAATGAAGAAAAATTTGCTTTGCCATCAGAACTAAAGCTACTGAAATATACCAAAAACTGTGTGTCAGTTGTAAACACATGCACACTGTACATATGAATGAACATATGCTGTATGATGCGTGTGTGTGTGTGTGTTCAGAGTTTTCCCACACTGGAGGGGGTCAGTGAGGAGTGGGAGCACACAGGAAGCAAAGTCTAGTGGGAATTTAAACCCTGAGGAATCTCATCTGCTGTTCATCAGCCATCATTCACTCCTGCACGCACACACACACACACACAAACACACACACACACACACACACACACTGACAATCTCCACATGTACTCTAAACACTGTGGTTTAAAATAGCATTTTACAGCTCGAGCATTAAAACTCTTGGCAAGACACAAAATTTTGAGAATATTCTGCTTTCAGTTCTCTCGTTAATTTGAACAAATTAGCAATTAATTCAATTCTCAAAAGTAATGCAGAGACTAGTTACAGAGAGAAAGAGAGAAGAGTAGGGGCTTCAGTGGATACAGCTGAAATAACTGAGACAAAAATGTCCATACATCACCAACAACCCTCAGTGTGTTCAGTCACAACACTGAGCTGCCCTCCACATCTGTAAAGTTCAGTGCGTCATGTAAATAAAAGTATAGTGGGACCCAGAAGGATGCATTCTTTCTCAAGGACACGGAAAAATAACAGAAGGGGAGGGCAACACAGAGAAAGAGAGAGGGAGAGGGAGACATGCCATAGCCACTTGATTATTTCGTTCCCCTGAAACAGGAGCAGACCCTCGATTGTTGATCTCCCTCAGGATGAACCACAGACCGCTTGCGGTTCACTGCAACAGCCGGCCTGCGGGATACGCCGACAGCCCCAGAGCCAGGAGCCGTGACAACCTGCTGATGTGCGATGACTTGGGGGAGGAATACTGTTGCTCTGGACGATGCCTCGGGTGAGTCTTTGATCTGCATCCTGCGCTCAGCCAGATGTGTTGGCAGGCAGGTGTGCTCATCATCATTTTGTTAAACTTAGAGGAAAATTATGAGCCACATTTTGTATTTTTGTTTTTGTATTTTGCCCTGCTTGGTTATTTGGTTTTTGTTAGAATCATGTAACATTTTAGAAGAGTTACATAATAAAAGCAACTTCCAAGAATGTGATGTTACACATTGTGCATCATCAACTGACAGCATGGAAAATTAAGATTAATACAGGATGGTGTCTTACTGATAAAGATGCATGACGTAAGGAATGACATAAGAGTTCCAGTTAATGGAGTTAAAGCTACATTAACTTTATCATGTCCCCTTATAATTTTGATAACAGTGTGCAAGTTTTTCCACATCCTAATATTGAAAAATAAGCCTGTTGGGGTTTAAATAATAAAATAATAGAAATGCTGTTCAAAATGTAGACAAAAGTGTATCTGGATTTCTCATAGCCCCTTTATAAAGATCACAGTTACAGTGTTTATTATAATTGGCAAAACCGCATGACCACATCTATGTAACCAACAGCTTTAGTTAAAATTTCAGCCTGCAAAGCTTTCACTTCATAGAACATCAACGTGCTGACGTTCCTCTATGGGAGCCCATAGGTGCTCCAAGGGATTAAGGTCAGAACTCAGGAAGGGCCTGACTTTGACCTTCTCCTGAGCAAAACTCTTTCAACAGGGGGCTGGAGCACTTTGGATTAGAGTCCTACTGAAAGATCTGCTTTCGTCATTTAACTCATTTCTGACTAATCTCTTTAACTTTTGCACACTTCAGAGTTCATGATTCAGGACTCACTGACGCTATTTCAAATGATCTGTTAACTGAGTCTGAATCTGGTCATTCTCATTGATCCTTGCTGCTGTTTCTCAGTTGATTTTTATTGTTTTTTACTCTCGGTGTGCTGCAAGTGTCTCTCAGTCTGTCATTTCTCAATCACAAGTATAGTTTTTTTTAACTTTATGACAATATACCCAATTATGTAAGATGGAAGATTGAGTATGTTTTTGATGATCTGGCCAATAAAGCAACTATTTTAGAGTTGCTTATAATGATTTCCAAGGTCATTTACAGTGTATATAATATATTTAATAAGTCCTACGTTAGTACAGATGCAGTTCTTCACAATAATGATGAACATGTTTCACTAACTTTGAAAATAAGAGCTTATTAAAATCTTTTTTATTGTCATTTATGTCATTCTGCCTCATGTGAACAGCCTGATTTATTTATTTTAGTCAAGTTTTTGAAATTAGAATTGTACTAAATGTGTCTTACTGTGGGTCAAATACCAGTTTGTCTGACCTTTTATGACATACAGTAACTTTTTGGTGGCAGCTATTAAGTTGTATTTATTCTGGTAAGAAGAATTCCTACTGTGGTATGTGAAGTAGAGATCAAAGTGGGAACAAGTGACTTCAAGTGAGGGTTTTTTTTTTTTGTCTATAATATATACGCCTACAATATATAAACAGAATGTACAGTGTGTTTATGTCCCCTGACTCTCCGGCAGTCACAGCAGCTCTGAGAGGCAGCTCATGGCTCGTCTCACTGCCGTTAAACGACGCCAGGCTCTCCGAGGTCCTGCCTACATGTTCTCTGGCCCCTCAGTCAGCCTGTCAGAGGTTGAGCAACGTTTCCTGGAGGCAGCTGAATACGGCAACATACCAGAGGTGCGCCGCATGCTGCTCCACGTGCCCAACTTGAATGTCAACACTGTGGACTACATGGGCCAAAATGCACTGCAGCTGGCCGTGGCCAACGAGCATCTGGAAGTGACGGAGCTGCTGCTGGGGAGGGCAGACTTGGCCAGAGTGGGTGATGCCCTCCTTCTGGCCATCAGTAAGACCTGTGCATTTGAGTTTACATCGACAAAAACACATTCAAAGGGTTCAGCACACGTAAAAGCTGACACTGCAGTGCTCTCCACGAGTACAACGCTTGAAAACACGCCAGACAGGACTGTGCTTTGTGATTTACAGTTTGTAGCATAGACAGTTACGTAACAGTCCAGTTCATTTTACATTTAATGGGGTCTTCCACAAATCAAATAAAGCATGCAAAGGTCTTATAGCTGCATGAGAAGCTCCACATTAAGATAAAGTCATTCAGATTCCAAAAATATTGACTTTAGTGAGTTTGCTGTTGCTGCAATTCCTTTTTGATAAAGTTGCTAAAATTACATCTGAATTAAAGACAGGCCATTTGTTCCAAGAGGTTTTGCAACAGCATTGTCAGAGGAACTACTGTCAAACCACAACAACACCTTTGCATTGTCTATGTTTTAGGTAAAGGCTACGTCCGTATCACGGAGGCCCTGCTGAATCACCCTTCATTTAGAGATGCTCATCGTCTGACAGCGAGTCCCGCTCAAGCAGACATGTTGGATGACTTCTACGCTTATGACGAAGACGGGACGAGGTAAGAAGGCTAAAAGACACAGGTGTTGCTCAGAGTGCTGCGGCGTTTGACATCAGTGCGATAAACATCTAAAACCCCTGACATGCAGGGCCACATGAAGGATTGTTTGATAGGCTGGTATGTGCCTGCAGCATGCAACTCAGGTATAAAGTTCTTAGACACGGGCAACTGGCCAAGACATAGAGGGAAAAATAAAAGGGAGTGCTGCACTGGATCAAGAATTATAGAGTTGATAAAAAAACAATTAGAAAGTGCTTTTCAAGGATAGGGCCAGTAAGGATGAAAAAATAGTGATTGTCCCAGTTATTAATTCTTAGTATTGGTTGATTGTCAAGGAAGTATTCCAGGTATGAAAATTCTTTATCAATGCACAGATAAACCCACTTATTTTGACTCAGATCCTGATGATTTTTCAATCTTTACTGACCAAGAAACTATTTGGCACATGTCACCTCTATCAAAAATTCAAATTTTACATGTATAGTTCAGTTCTTTGTTGTGATCGAAACACACAAGATGTCAATTTGTGAGCTTTAGAAGTGAAGGATTCTGGATTTCGTTACCAGCAAATTGTTTTGCACTCTTTTTGTTGAGCCAAGATAGCCAGTTACTGGCAGTAGCTTCATATTTACTGCGCCGCAGACGTGACAGTGGTATCTAATCTAACTCGACAAGAAAGAGAGTCCCAAAATGTCAAACTCAGGCCCACACATGACCATTTTATCTTTGTAAAGTCAACACCAAGACAAGGACAGAGTGGTGGAGGAAGCTGTGGTGGCAAACAGTGGAATAGAGGCACACCTGTGTGAATATGTTTGGATCAGCTGGCAGTTGAACATTGTGGGGAATGAAGCAATGATGGTGAAACATGAAGGGAGCATCTGATGTTAATTAGCAGCAGTAACACAGTGTGACTTCGATGTTCTGTTAGGTCTGTAGCTCTGGTCTGTTTGTGGATGCTACTGGTTTGGTTGTTGAAGAAATCTACATTTAACAGGGGTTTTTATTTGACTGCTTTGTTAAAAAAATAAATAAAGAAAAAAAAAGAAAAAAAAGTGGAAACTCCTGACACTTGATGAAGGGAGTTCCAAACACAGTGAAAAGCTGTGTATAAAACTCTCAGGCGACTGTGAAAATGTTTTTAAAAGGCATATTTCCGATGCTGCCTGGCAAAATAATCCCCTTCAAGGTTGATAGATTTATCATTTTTGCTCTTATGTTTACTGTCTGTGTTTTCGTGTGTGTTCTTTTGCACAGGTTTTCTCACGATGTGACTCCAGTGATACTCGCAGCTCACTGCCAGGAATACGAGATAGTTCACACCCTGCTGAGTAAAGGGGCCCGCATCGACCCTCCCCACGACTACTTCTGTGGCTGCGACTCGTGTAACTACCAGCAGCAATTCGACTCCTTCAGCCACTCGCGATCGAGGATCAATGCCTACAAAGGGCTCGCCAGTCCTGCCTACCTCTCCCTGTCTAATGAGGATCCAGTGCTGGCGGCTCTGGAGCTCAGCAACGAACTGGCCATGCTGGCTAATATTGAGAAAGAATTTAAGGTACAAATGCCATCAGCAGAAAAAAAAAAAAAAAAGTGAACATAAATCCAGGATGATGTCTGCGCACTTTCTGTCAATGTGACTGTACACATGCCCTGAAAATCAGCTCTTTATCAAGGATACAAAAAGTAGATATGCCATGCCGCTGCCAACCAGCTGCCAGTAAAAGCCGCCAGTAAACACATGGAGATTTTATTACCTCAAAGAGAGGAAGCAAGAACAGATGAGGGTCTGGTTCCTGTGGTCATTGTTCACACTGTTGGTTTGACACATATATAACAGCTGTAATTATTGCTGGGCTGACAGTAGGACAGTATACCACAGGTTCTATAGGACAAATAAACAGCAAAATGCTTCTGGCAGCACAGACATCCAAATACACTGCTCCCGTGTCTTATTATCAAAACATTTCCAGAGCTGGTGTCAGTGACGGACAATGTTACTGTTAATTTAATGGGAAACGTGGGACTAGTTAAACAAATGTGACAATATAATTGATTACTGATGCTAGTGGTAAAACCTGGGATCACATGTACACAAAATCATACATCATATGATGTGATTTTGAAAAATGTCATCGTAATGTGATAATTATTTTGAAGTGGAATTCCAACATTGCGCATGCGCTTCCAGTTATCTGTAATCCAGCATCAGATCACATTTGCTGCAATTCATCTCAAATGTCTTAATTACCTATGCACATACTCGCCCCATTGTGTTTACAGAACGATTACTGCCGCCTGTCGAGCCAGTGTAAGGACTATGTGGTGGGCCTTCTGGATCTGTGTCGCAGCACAGAGGAAGTGGAGGCCATACTGAGCGGACAAACGGACTCTGAAGACAGCTATGATGTACCAGATCGCCCCTCCCTCACACGGCTCAAATTAGCCATCAAATATGAACTCAAGAAGGTCAGTGTGCTCTCAAACAGGCAATGACAGAAAGACAGGGTGAAGTGGTTTTATGAGCATAGAAGAGGTATTTGTCTGTGTTAAATAATCACAATTACACATTTAGATCGAGCCAGGCAGACTCTTATCTCACATATTGTTGTTAAAACTAAGACCTGATTAGAATAACAGCAAACATTTATCACTTCTTTTTTGTTGTTGTTGGACGCTATAACGGTACGTGTTATCTAAAGAATAATGTGTATTTGGTCTTGATGAGTGAAATCAGAAAAATCTGAGTAAAATCAACCATTCACTGTTATGTACAACTGAAACTGTTTTAAAAAATCTGCAAACTAAACAAAACTGCAGTTAAAAGTCTCAAACATATATACGTGATGCAGTCAAGAAGAACTCCATGAATCTTCATTTTCAAGGTATCTGATGTGCACTGAAGCCTTGAGCCGAGCTGAGCACTCATTTGTTTTAATTTCCATTTACTGATGTCTCATTAAATACCTCTACCAGAAACCAATTTGTAGATGCTGAAACAATTAATCAATTAGAAGATTGTCAGAGCATTAATATTAATATAATCTGATAATTGTCAAGGAAAAATAGCAGCTCTGCTCTGGTTGTAGCTCTTAAACATTTCTCACCTGTTTTATAAGATTACACGTTAGAACAAGGCAGGTAAGGGAAGTCGGCAAGTTGGATCCGTAACTTCGGGACAAGGATTGGCTTTCAATCACACTTTGAAGATGCTTCCCTGAGCTCTGGGGTGTAAACAAAAAATCGCAAAAACGATTAATCATGTGACAGTAATTGGTATTTCCAGTCCTGTGTGTCTTCTGTCATGAGGATTCTCTCTCAAAGTGTGTCAAATAGTCCATTCGACTCATGATAAGAAGAATCATATGAAAGTTGATGCAGCAGACGACTTATTGCATGTTCTCATATCACAGAGACAATAAACACTCTTCAGCTACCCTTGATATTCCTGTTTCCTCTCTGTCCTCTGTACCCTTCAGTTTGTGGCTCACCCTAACTGCCAGCAGCAGTTGTTGAGTATCTGGTATGAAAACCTGCCTGGCCTGAGACAACAAACCACTGCCATCAAACTGCTGGTGGTGCTGGCGGTGGCTATAGGACTGCCTGGACTGGCTGTGGCTTACTGGATCACCCCATGCAGCAGAGTATGTAACAGTCTGTCTCCAAGTTCACTCACATTCATTCCTAAATGCACCATTTGGACAGCACTGACTCATGTTTGGATAAGAAATTACCCAAAAAGACTCTTTCATATCAAAGTGAAAACTGATTTCTACAAAGTAATGTCAGCTAAAATGTGAAACAGGTGATTGCATTAGTATTCACCCCCTTCAAGTCGGCATTTCGGAGATGCACTTTTGGCCACACCCTGTGATAGACTGGCGACCTGTCCAGGGTGTCCAATACCTTCGCCCTGAGTTGGCTGGGATAGACTCCTGCCCCTCTGCAACCCTGATGAGGATTAAGCGGCGTAGAGATAATGGATGGACCGGCATTTTTGTGCATCTGGACACTGCAATTTTACCTCATTCTACTTTGCAAAACTTCCCAAGCCCTGTCAGGTTGCAAGAGCGAACACAGTTCTCTTGCAGACTATATCAGTTTGTCCTCCAGGTTTTTTTCTGTACTTTCATTCATCCTTCCAGGGCCTGCTATTAAGAAGCATCCTCAGATCATGATGCTGCCACCACCATGCTTCACAGTGGGGATGATTTGTTTGTGATGATGTGCAGTGTTTAGTGTCCACTGAAAATAGCATCTAGGCTGATGGCCAAAAAAGCTTAATTTTGAATTTTGGGGTGAATATTTTTACAGGTGCTGTAATTCCCTGCAGGTCCTTTTATCGTATCTTCCTTTATTGTTTGATCTCTTTTTCTCAGGTGGGGAAAGTGATGCGCAGCCCTTTTATGAAGTTTGTGGCGCATGCATCATCCTTTACAATATTCCTGGGTCTTCTCATCTTAAATGCTGCTGACCGTTTCGCAGGCACCACCCTGCTGCCAAACATGACCCACCATCACCTTCCAGAAAGTGCACAACTAAACTCTGACCCGCTGCTGCTCTACCGCATGACTACAACACCCTTCACCTGGATGGAGATCCTCATCATTTCATGGGTCATGGGTGAGCATAATGGATGATAATGGATGAAATTCCTCACCAAAAAAAAGTGTCATCAGATGTCATTTTGTGCGTCTTGCTGCAGGTATGATTTGGGCTGAGGTGAAGGAGATCTGGAGTCAAGGACCAGGAGAGTATCTGGTCGAACCGTGGAACTTTCTGGACTTTGGGATGCTGGCGATCTTCCTTGCCTCCTTCAGCTGCCGCTTCTCTGCTCTGAGACACGCTGACATAGCCCAGACCTATGTATACACACAACAATACACAACACTGAGTAATGTCACACTGCCCCCCGAGATACACTACTTTACTCTGGGTGAGCATGCTCACACAACTGCACTGACTAACAGACTGCTGCACTTTAAATGCCATCATTTGCTTAATATATGAACAACTGCAGGGAGGTGGCACAAATGTACCAAAGAAAAATAAACATATTTGTGTTCCTACTCCTTTTCTTTGTCACTATAATCATAATAAATAGAAATCCAGTGGTTTTGATGCATACGTTCTCTATGAAACAGCTAATGTAGCATCCTACATTAACAACACTTTGTGCCATTTTTTAAAATAATCCTTTTCAGTCTGTCTTAAAAACATATTTTGTAAGACATACAATTCTTTTAATCAGATTAGATTTCCTGATTGATTCATGCTCTGTTTTCACAGCACGTATCGACTGGTTGCCGTCAGATCCACAGCTGGTATCAGAAGGCCTGTACGCTGTCGCAGTGGTGCTGAGCTTCTCTCGGATTGCTTACATCCTCCCAGCCAACGAGAGCTTCGGTCCGCTGCAGATCTCTTTAGGGAGGACTGTAAAGGACATCTTCAAGTTCATGGTCATCTTCATCTTGGTCTTTCTGGCCTTCATGATCGGCATGTTCAATCTGTACTCTTACTACCTGGGGGCCAAGCAGAACGACGCCTTCACCACGTGAGACATTTACTGTGCATAAGTGTACTATTTCTACCTTGGCATTCATTAAGAAAATCTACTTGCATAGACTTAAAGACTGCTCGAGATCCAAAAGCTTATCTTTTATCTAAACATTTTTGGTCTCATCAATGTTAAAGCACAGCATCGACACATCATATCAAATTTAAAAGAATAATACTACAGTATTAACGATGTTTAAAGTCATGCAGATGTCATTTACTGATGTTGTCATGGCTTTGATTTATAATTATTGTTTTGCCAAGATGTGAGAATTCAAAAAGAGCTGAATTCACAAGCTGAATATTTGTAAAAATCCAACCTAAAAAGATAAATGAAAACATGGATACTGTAAAAGGATAATTCACATTTCAGTGATATCTTTAAAAGTAGCTCTTAGGTAGACAATTCTCTTATATTTGTTAAAAAAAAAAGTTTACTTACATAAACTGACAAATTTTCTACATTTTCTGGCTTGTCACCATTTAAAATGAAGTCATGGCTGCACATAACTTCTTATCACTGATTTAATTAATTTAATACGGACACAAGTTATCAGCAGTGCAAGAAATGCTATTTTAGCTTCTCAGATTATTTTATTTGAAGGACAAGAAGCGAGGAAAAAGTGATAGAAAGTTCTCCGTCTTTTCTTATCTGTTTATTCCTATTGTGACCCTCACATTTATGTTAGGACACATTACATTGGGAGGTGTTGCATACATTTTTCACAGTTAAAATACAGGAAATAAACATGACATGATGGACTGTCTATGTGAAACAAGGTTTGAGTCGCTGCAAGTTAATTTTCACATCAGTTAAATAAAGTGAAATCAGTAGCTGCCCCCGAAGCTTGGAAATCAATCTAAAAATATACGATATGTTTGCGGAGTAATGTAAACACTGTGCTGAACACTGTAAGAATTACTGTGAGCCTCAAAAACATTTTGTTCTTCCGCTCCCCTCCTCATCTTCAGTGTCTCCGTTCTGATGATTAATGGTTTGTTTGAAATCAAAAATAGCCTTTCTCTCGTCTCCCTCCGTGTCTGTATGTCCGTCCAGCCTGGAGGAGAGCTTCAAGACATTGTTCTGGGCTATATTTGGCCTGTCCGAGGTCAGATCCGTCGTAATCAACAACGGGCACAAATTCATCGAGAACATTGGCTATGTGCTGTACGGGGTGTACAACGTTACCATGGTGATAGTGCTGCTCAACATGCTCATCGCCATGATCAACAGTTCCTTCCAGGAGATTGAGGTTTGTCACCAAATTGTCATCTACCTCAGATACAAAAATATTATGTTGGTAAAATTAGGCTTCAGTTAATGGTGGGAGAAATATAATGTCACTAACAACACAGACAAAACTTATTTTTCTCTTCTGAAATGAGAGTTGCTCACCATATAATTTAGGTTTGACTCATCAAAACACTTGACTGTTTGGGGCCCTTTAATATTCTGACAAAGTAAAGCATCTTCCATTCTTCCTCTGTAGAGCAAAAATGAAAATGGATCAGTGTTTCTTTTTATCTACAGTTGAATAGTGTTGAGCCCCAGTGGTGGTACATAACTAAGAACATGTATACAAATTCTGTACTCAAGTAAAAACTGGACAAACTTGCTCTTCACTTGAGTATATCTGTTGTATGAAACCTTATGCTTCTACTACACTTCGTTCCTGAGGAGAAACAGTGTAATCTTTTCTCAACCACATCAGTCTGACAGCTTTAGTTACTCTTCAGACTACAGTTACAATGATAACAAACATTATATAAAGTAGATGAAATGAGCTCAACCTTAAACAGCTGCAGCCACAAAATGCAAAACACACACTCATGCAGCTCTAAAATTCACAACTTTTTACTGCACAGTGACTACTTTTAGTTTTGATATCTTAAGCACTTTTTTTGACGATACATACTTAAAGACGTTTACATATTTGAATACAGGTGTTTTACAATCTTTATTTAGGTAAGGTGCTGAATTCCAACTTCCAATGCTGCTGAATCCATTCTGACTCTAATAAAACTAATATTAAAAGATAAGAAATTTATGGAGCTAAATTTGTCTCAGTAATATTTGTTTCAACAGAAAGGCAATTCGTGTGCACGTGTGATCTGTAAGTATAGAACACTTTAAAAAATGTGTCAACTGTCACAGATGAGCAAATCCACAAAGAACTTGCACAAGTATGACTACATTAAATTATTTATGGATATTGAAAAACATTTTCAGAACATCTTCTTAACATTTGCAACTGCCAAAAAGGCATTTTTAAGTCCATTGTACTCAATATTTGTGAATTGAAAAAAGCATTCGTGGAACTCAGTTCTACATTTGAATTTTACATTTGCATTCACACATTTACACTTGGACTGTCGTTTTGTTCACACAAATAATACTGACACAAATCTAGCTCCGAAGTTTCTACTAATTTAACAAAATTGTGCTGTAAATGTGCTTCAGCTGGCTAGCACAATAAACACTATTTTTAATGTTTGTGTTGCTGAGAGTTGGATAAGATTAATATTTGTCTCATGTCTAAAATTCCAAATATGAAGCTACAGCTGATTAGCTTAGCTTTACACAAAGACAAGAAACAGCCAGGCTCTGAAGCAGTGACCTTCTGGAAGCTCTAGGTCGAAGAAATAGTTGGGCCTGTAGCCTGAGAGGATCTGCTTGGTAACTTTTATTACCTTTGGACAGTCAGGTTGGCAGTTTCCTCCTGCTTCCTGTCTTAATGTCGAGCTACCTGCCTGTTTGCTCAAGCTTCATATTTAATGCAAAGACATCAGAGTGGTTTTAATGTTCTCATCTGTCTCTCAATAAGAAAGCAAGTATTCTTCTCATACTTGTTTGGTTTCTTTGTTTTGTTTAACTTTTCAGGATGACGCTGACGTTGAGTGGAAGTTTGCTCGTGCAAAACTTTGGTTCTCCTACTTTGAAGAGGGCAGGACTCTCCCTGTGCCCTTTAACCTGGTCCCGAGTCCTAAATCTATGCAGGGACTGGCCTCAGCCATTAAGTCTCTGCTTCTGCAGTTTGTGGAAGGACACAGTCAGGAGAAAATGGAGACGCAACTCAACCAGGTACCACACAATATGTGATGCATGTTTACCTAAAACATCACACGTAGCATCGATCCTTTCTTAGCTTGTGAAGCCATAAATCTATGGTTCATATTGGAGCCTTAGGGACGGAGCCTGAGCACCTCCCAGTGGTTTAACTGCTGCAGCACAAGCTTCATCTCAAACCTGAAGACAAGTTTAACCTGAGAAATGTCACAATTATCTTCAGTTAAACTAATTTCAGGTTTAATCTTCCAGCTCGGGGTGGGAAAAAATTCAGGATATGGTGCTTCTTCTAGCCCAACCAGGTATCAGGTAGGTTTGTTTCATTCAAAATATAATTTTTAATCAAATTTATGTGACAGCTTTTTAAAAAATGTATGATACATAGCAGTAAACCGCAGTTACACAAGGAAATGTAACCATTTTGCATTGGTAATGTAGTAATAATAATAATAAATAATTAAGAATACCAGAATTTGAGGACCGTTTTTCCATTACTGGTTGCAGAAGATCATGAAGCGACTGATAAAGCGTTACATCATCAAAGCCCAAGCAGACAGAGAGAGTGACGAGATCACTGAAGGTAAAAGCGACAGAATGATCCTGAAACATTTTGAAAATTAAGCTCCTCTCAGTGCTTGTCGTTAAATAAAGCTTAACTTCACTGCAAGAAGACGGAGTATCCCCATGACAAAAAATAGCTCCCTCAGATCTGCTTTGTTTTATTTTAAGTTTTCTGTTTTGACATAAAATGCTTTCGTATCTATTTTTGTCCAGGTGAGCTGAAAGAGATCAAACAGGACATCTCCAGTCTGAGATATGAGCTGCTGGAGGAGAAATCACAGAGCACGGACACGCTTGACGGGCTGCTGAGGAGGCTGGAAGAGCTCAGCACACCTTCATCGTCACACTGACTGTCATCCCGACTTTTACATGAAACTGTACAGCTCTAAGAGCGTCAAGTGCCTGTTCTATGTCACTGAATGTAGATACACTAATACAGTGGCAAACCAAGATCAAATGAGAATATATGTGAATACAAAATTAAAATGTAACTGGCTGACTGCAAGACTGTGTCATTTATGTGATGAAAATGCACAGAAAGAACTGTTCATGAAAAATAGCTCATACAGTCTGGATAATTTATTATTAAAGAGAAGATTATGGGACCAGTATGTCCTCCCATATTTACCCACTACGTATTTACATATAAGGATACTGTACATAAAGTCAGTTGTAAGTACACATGATCTGCAGATTACTTTTCTTTGTCCTGCAATCAAATGTGTAAATCAGCTTGGCAACACTGCTTAACCCGAATACATATTGTTACGACCGGGCTCAAGATGGCCGCAACAAAAGGAGAGACCAAACCAATATGGGGTTGTGAGAATACATAGAGTCAGTGGTGTGTGTGCATGATGTATGTATGAATTATGTCTGTGCAAGTGTTGTAAATGCAAATGTCCTAAACAAAGAAAACTAACCCATGACCAGACCGATGCAATACCTGCGGAGGGAAGCAGAGTAGAGTGCAGTCAGCCCTTAAGTAACCCAGGAACACACTGGGTGTCACAGGTACTCCTGATTACCCTTAACAGCCACTCACAGAACCAATAGCCGAACTAGAACCACCCACAAGACACAAGATGACTTCAGGGGTCATCACACCCCTCTCCTTAAACAAGGGGTCCCAACGGGATCACCAAAAGATCCTAAACCAGACAACCTACACACAAAGTTAAAGCAGTTAGCAACCATATTCACTGAAGAAGTCAAATGTTTACTGACAACCTGATAAGCGCATACTCCAAACAGTCAAATCCAAATGTAGATTTTCGAGACCAACTCAAAATGGTCAAGTGCAACACATACAAAATCAAAGCCGTTACCAGCCAAATTCACTGTTTAAACCAAATGTTTACTGACAAGTCGATAAGCGCATATTCCAAACAGTCAAACAAATGTAGATTTCCAAGACCAACGCAAATGGTCAGCCACAAACTGCGTTGCCAACAACATTCTGTTCCTCAAACATCAGCCCAGCTCTCTGCACAACCATTCTTACTTCCACAACCAGGCAAGGCTCACTCTCCTCAAACACACCTGGCTCAAACAAAGACCACATAACCAAATCCCAAATGTCATCTATACTTTATTTTTCTCTCCAAGACTAAAATGATCAACTATTTGAAGTAATAATAATCTGTCTTGCAGCCACAGAAACCGTAATTTTAAATGTGCCATTACAGATAGTTGAGTGCTAACCAATAAACACAAAAATGATGCTCTTCAGAGAGTTTCCCCCTGACTGTCTGACCAAAACTTACTAGAAACTCACCCCTAGTCTTCATGTGGTTCTGCGGTGGGTATATTAAGCACCAAACCAGCGAGTCTGTGAAGCCACCTGCAGCAGGCAACCCCACAAAACTACACAGAGTGCTCCCGAGATAGCTGTCCAAAGACAACTAACGCTAACCGCTGCCCACAGCACTACCAAAACAAAAAACTGACACAACCCAAAGAGGATGTGTCCTTTAGCCTACCGGAGAAATCTCAGTAAGTACAGCATCAAGACAACAACACTCACCTTCTGGATGGCATCAAACAATCAACGTTAAGTTACAAACAACACTGCTTCCAAGCAACACAAAACCACTGCAGTCTTCCAAAGCACGCAGCAGAGTCAAAGCCAGCCCACAGCTGGACCAAATCCACTAATCAGTGGGCAATCAACAACATGTGCCCACTGCTACTGAAGATACAAGAGATAGACAAAATACCTGAATAGATGTAGTGATCTCAGTGGACGAGCCCCCATTTGTTACGACCAGGCTCAAGATGGCCGCAACAAAAGGAGAGACACACCAAGTTTCAAAATTAAAGCTTATCTTTATTCCCTTAAATTATATCAAATTAAAAACCAAACCAATATGGGGTTGTGAGAATACATAGAGTCAGTGGTGTGTGTGCGTGATGTATGCATGAATTATGTCTGTGCAAGTGTTGTAAATGCAGATGTCCTAAACAAAGAAAACTAACCCATGACCAGACCGATGCAATACCTGCAGAGGGAAGCAGAGTAGAGAGAGATTAGACTGCAGTCAGCCCTTAAGTAACCCAGGAACACACTGGGTGTCACAGGTGCTCCTGATTACCCTAAACAGCCACTCACAGAACCAATAGCCGAACTAGAACCACCCACAAGACACAAGATGACCTCAGGGGTCATCACAATATCTGAAAAAATGTAATTAAATTAAATTAAAGAAACTGGAACTGGTAAACTCAGAAACCCTGAATGAAACTTTTTTTTCTGTGGAAAATGCACGATGAACAGATATCGTAATAATAAAGACCAACTCTTTTTTTTAAGAAAAGTATTTGTCCTTTATTTAGACAGCAGGAAAACTGACAGAGACAGCAGGACGAAGGTGTTATGACAGGATTCAGTCTTTAGTCTCATACCGCTCAAGGCACCGAGGTGTGAACATTTCATTCCTGGACATACAGTTATAACATTAAAACATAAATTACAAAGATCGATAGAAAAATACTGTTTCCATGTACCTTGTAGACACATTTAATACATATATAGTAAAGTACAGCAGAGACTGCTGAACATAAAAGACAAGCTGATAATGAGTGAAACTACAAAGTCGGACAAGTCAAATATTAACATCTACAGTATTATAGGCTGGTTAATAACACATGATTACATACAGTACACACAACTTTCATATCCTGCCACAGTAGTCAGTGATAATAGTCACAGTTACAATATAAATATATTATATCTTCGATCAGCAGCACAGAGGATTACTGTTTGCACTGTAGATCCCTAAAATCTAAGTCCGATCTGTGTTTCTCAGTGGCGTCTTGCCGACACCATCAGGTCTGTCAGATGTATGTGATGTAGTTTTCAGGTATGAGGCCTGTTCTGCCGTTGTACGTCGCCTGAAGCCAACCTGGTTCCACAGACGGGTACACTGCAGACACAAACAACTCTGCTCAGCAAGTCAAGACAAAGACCTTCATATATAAACCAATAAAATGTCATCTGAAACGATGGTTTAGACAGACACCCATAACCTTCCTAAACATAAAAAAAAAACATCCTCACAACTTTGGAACAAATTGTAATCTTGTTGCTTTTTAGGAGGATACAGACCACAGATTTACAGTTAACTGCCACGTACATTATCAGTAATCAGCTCCAACTGCTTGGTTAAAACACAAAGACGTGCTGAGCAGCTAGGCATTATTAAAACCCACTGGGCCTTATATTACATTTTTATCCAGATCACAGCAATTATTTCACAATAAACATTGCAAAGATGTTTAAATGCTCACAGAACAGCTAAAATATTTCATCTATTGTAATGTTTTGGAGCCACAAATACAAAAGTAGTGTGTATTCTTCACAAAATCCATTGACGCAGTTGATTAACACTTGGTGCTGTCGTGAGAGTTTGAGCTGAACAAATGCCAAACCTCGACAATAGGATGTTCAAAATGAATGCATGTACTTGTAATTGAACAATCCTGTGTGATCACAACCCATGAAAAAAGTTGTAATATGCAGCAAATGGGATTAAAAAGATTGTCTGAGGCGTAGAGACATGAGCCTGCAGGTTTGTGTTTCAGCCTGTGGACTCGTGTGTAGGTCATGATGACCTGGCAAATGAGCTTGTGGGTCATGGTGGCCTGACAAACTAAGAGCAGGTCACAGCTGAATTCAAGCATTGTGCGGAATAAAACCAGGTGCACAGTAAGCTGCACAGCTAATGCTATTTTTAAGTAGTAGTTGAAAACTGTTAGATCAGACACTCCCAGATTAAAAAAAACAAACGTAATGGTTGCCGAGATGATCTGATTGGTCTTTTTTAAAATAATGGGTTGCGATTTTCAAGGAGAAGGAGGCGAGTTTGGGGGGAGTTTGCAGAAGGACAGAAGATGTTCAGAGCTGTTAAGTCAGTTAAAAATCTTGAGATTTGTTTGTTTTTACAGCCTTCTGTATTGAATACACATCATTCACATCAGACTTTGAACACTGTGTGAAGACTTTTTCTTGAATATTTTTGAAGATGCCAATCGTTGATCCGTAAGTGATTTTTTTGGACTAAATGTTGAAAGTTGAGTCACAACAGTGCAACATAGCAATGAAGTGGGTCTAACTTTAAAGTAACAGAAAGTATGTAATATATTACAGCAGCATTTTTGTTAAATATATTAAATGTGTATATAAAACTTGACAGCAATCCCTATATGAAGTGCTCTAATCATAAAAAGAAAACATCTGTCACACAGTATGTGGCAGTAACACCCTGTAAAAAGCAGTTCCAATCACTGCATTCAGTCACACATGAGATAACTAGATGACCTACCTGCCTTTCTAACTATGTACCTGCATTCCCTCTGCCCATGCACACACTGTACATCACTGGGGTCTCGCACAAAGGAACGCAAAGCTAGTGAACAGATGGCTCAAGAGTCTTTCAGTGCTCTTTGTGGTCTCCAGCCTATTCCAGTTTTATTAGCATTTGTTTACATGTATTAATGCATATGTTCGCCACCTGTCTGCATTGTGCCCTTGTTGTGAACAAGTATTATTGGTTCATATTTATCTTATGTCAGTCTATACTGGCTTTGAATGGGTCATTTTGCAAATGTAATCATGTAGTTTCTTTTTTTGTTTTTAGACCTGCTGTAGTTTCACGAGTTGTGTGTGAATGGGTGAATGAGAAACACTGTAAAGTGCTTTGAGTGCCGCAAAGGTAGAAAAGCGCTATATAAGTGCAGACCATTTACCATTTACCATTCCTCCAGATGTTGATACCAGGTGTATACAGACCTAAAACTCCCTTAATGAAATTAAACCTGCGAGTGACTTTCTTACCGTTTGAGAACAGCGCCCCCTGTGGAAAACTTAGTTCATGGCTGTGCTCTGCCTCACAGGAGTAAAGAGCTTTTGCTTCCCTGGGAGAAAACACAGAAAAAAGTAAAATCAGTGATTTAGGAAGAGGCTGGGTTTCATCTCTCCATATGTTTTTCTTTGCTTTGATCAAG